ACCTGAATACAGACCATCTCATAATCATTCACAATTCAAAACGCTTTCTCATAGGTACTTGTACCATGGACGCAGAATGCCAGAACGGAGGAACTTGTGCCTTGGGTATCTGCAACTGTGCACCTGGGTACACCGGTTTAAACTGTGAAATAGGTAAGATTTCTTCAAACTTCCAACCTTTCAAATCAGGCTTTGCATCTCTATCCGATCATAATATTGTTCATATTCTTTATCGCCCTCCTAATTGTTAAAAACACAAATTTGAATACAGACCATCTCATAGTCATTCACAATTCAAAACGGTTTCTTATAGGTACTTGTACCATGGACGCAGAATGCCAGAACGGAGGAACTTGTGCCTTGGGTATCTGCAACTGTGCACCTGGGTACACCGGTTTAAACTGTGAAATAGGTAAGATTTCTTCAAACTTCTAACCTTTCAAATCAGGCTTTGCATCTCTATCCGATCATAATATTGTTCATATTCTTTATCGCCCTCCTAATTGTTAAAAACAAAAACTTGAATACAGACCATTTCATCACAATTCAAAACGGTTTCTTATAGGTACTTGTACCATGGACGCAGAATGCCAGAACGGAGGAACTTGTGCCTTGGGTATCTGCAACTGTGCACCTGGGTACACCGGTTTAAACTGTGAAATAGGTAAGATTTCTTCAAACTTCCAACCTTTCAAATCAGGCTTTGCATCTCTATCCGATCATAATATTGTTCATATTCTTTATCGCCCTCCTAATTGTTAAAAACAAAAATTTGAATACAGACCATCTCATAATCATTCACAATTCAAAACGCTTTCTTATAGGTACTTGTACCATGGACGCAGAATGCCAGAACGGAGGAACTTGTGCCTTGGGTATCTGCAACTGTGCACCTGGGTACACCGGTTTAAACTGTGAAATAGGTAAGATTTCTTCAAACTTCCAACCTTTCAAATCAGGCTTTGCATCTCTATCCGATCATAATATTGTTCATATTCTTTATCGCCCTCCTAATTGTTAAAAACAAAAATTTGAATACAGACCATCTCATAGTCATTCACAATTCAAAACGCTTTCTTATAGGTACTTGTACCATGGACGCAGAATGCCAGAACGGAGGAACTTGTGCCTTGGGTATCTGCAACTGTGCACCTGGGTACACCGGTTTAAACTGTGAAATAGGTAAGATTTCTTCAAACTTCCAACCTTTCAAATCAGGCTTTGCATCTCTATCCGATCATAATATTGTTCATATTCTTTATCGCCCTCCTAATTGTTAAAAACAAAAACCTTGAATACAGACCATCTCATAATCATTCAAAACGGTTTCTTATAGGTACTTGTACCATGGACGCAGAATGCCAGAACGGAGGAACTTGTGCCTTGGGTATCTGCAACTGTGCACCTGGGTACACCGGTTTAAACTGTGAAATAGGTAAGATTTCTTCAAACTTCCAACCTTTCAAATCAGGCTTTGCATCTCTATCCGATCATAATATTGTTCATATTCTTTATCGCCCTCCTAATTGTTAAAAACAAAAATTTGAATACAGACCATCTCATAATCATTCACAATTCAAAACGCTTTCTTATAGGTACTTGTACCATGGACGCAGAATGCCAGAACGGAGGAACTTGTGCCTTGGGTATCTGCAACTGTGCACCTGGGTACACCGGTTTAAACTGTGAAATAGGTAAGATTTCTTCAAACTTCCAACCTTTCAAATCAGGCTTTGCATCTCTATCCGATCATAATATTGTTCATATTCTTTATCGCCCTCCTAATTGTTAAAAACAAAAACCTGAATACAGACCATCTCATAATCATTCAAAACGGTTTCTTATAGGTACTTGTACCATGGACGCAGAATGCCAGAACGGAGGAACTTGTGCCTTGGGTATCTGCAACTGTGCACCTGGGTACACCGGTTTAAACTGTGAAATAGGTAAGATTTCTTCAAACTTCCAACCTTTCAAATCAGGCTTTGCATCTCTATCCGATCATAATATTGTTCATATTCTTTATCGCCCTCCTAATTGTTAAAAACAAAAATCTGAATACTGACCATCTCATAATCATTCACAATTCAAAACGCTTTCTCATAGGTACTTGTACCATGGACGCAGAATGCCAGAACGGAGGAACTTGTGCCTTGGGTATCTGCAACTGTGCACCTGGGTACACCGGTTTAAACTGTGAAATAGGTAAGATTTCTTCAAACTTCCAACCTTTCAAATCAGGCTTTGCATCTCTATCCGATCATAATATTGTTTATTCTTTATCGCCCTCCTAATTGTTAAAAACACAAATTTGAATACAGACCATCTCATAATCATTCACAATTCAAAACGGTTTCTTATAGGTACTTGTACCATGGACGCAGAATGCCAGAACGGAGGAACTTGTGCCTTGGGTATCTGCAACTGTGCACCTGGGTACACCGGTTTAAACTGTGAAATAGGTAAGATTTCTTCAAACTTCTAACCTTTCAAATCAGGCTTTGCATCTCTATCCGATCATAATATTGTTCATATTCTTTATCGCCCTCCTAATTTTTAAAAACAAAAACTGAATACAGACCATCTCATCACAATTCAAAACGGTTTCTTATAGGTACTTGTACCATGGACGCAGAATGCCAGAACGGAGGAACTTGTGCCTTGGGTATCTGCAACTGTGCACCTGGGTACACCGGTTTAAACTGTGAAATAGGTAAGATTTCTTCAAACTTCCAACCTTTCAAATCAGGCTTTGCATCTCTATTCGATCATAATATTGTTCATATTCTTTATCGCCCTCCTAATTGTTAAAAACAAAACCTGAATACTGACCATCTCATAATCATTCACAATTCAAAACGCTTTCTCATAGGTACTTGTACCATGGACGCAGAATGCCAGAACGGAGGAACTTGTGCCTTGGGTATCTGCAACTGTGCACCTGGGTACACCGGTTTAAACTGTGAAATAGGTAAGATTTTTTCAAACTTCCAACCTTTCAAATCAGGCTTTGCATCTCTATCCGATCATAATATTGTTCATATTCTTTATCGCCCTCCTAATTGTTAAAAACAAAAACTTGAATACAGACCATCTCATAATCATTCACAATTCAAAACGCTTTTTTATAGGTACTTGTACCATGGACGCAGAATGCCAGAACGGAGGAACTTGTGCCTTGGGTATCTGCAACTGTGCACCTGGGTACACCGGTTTAAACTGTGAAATAGGTAAGATTTCTTCAAACTTCCAACCTTTCAAATCAGGCTTTGCATCTCTATCCGATCATAATATTGTTCATATTCTTTATCGCCCTCCTAATTGTTAAAAACAAAAACTGAATACTGACCATCTCATAATCATTCACAATTCAAAACGGTTTCTTATAGGTACTTGTACCATGGACGCAGAATGCCAGAACGGAGGAACTTGTGCCTTGGGTATCTGCAACTGTGCACCTGGGTACACCGGTTTAAACTGTGAAATAGGTAAGATTTCTTCAAACTTCCAACCTTTCAAATCAGGCTTTGCATCTCTATTCGATCATAATATTGTTCATATTCTTTATCGCCCTCCTAATTGTTCAAAACACAAATTTGAATACAGACCATCTCATAATCATTCACAATTCAAAACGGTTTCTTATAGGTACTTGTACCATGGACGCAGAATGCCAGAACGGAGGAACTTGTGCCTTGGGTATCTGCAACTGTGCACCTGGGTACACCGGTTTAAACTGTGAAATAGGTAAGATTTCTTCAAACTTCTAACCTTTCAAATCAGGCTTTGCATCTCTATCCGATCATAATATTGTTCATATTCTTTATCGCCCTCCTAATTGTTAAAAACAAAAACCTGAATACAGACCATCTCATCACATTTCAAAACGGTTTTCTTATAGGTACTTGTACCATGGACGCAGAATGCCAGAACGGAGGAACTTGTGCCTTGGGTATCTGCAACTGTGCACCTGGGTACACCGGTTTAAACTGTGAAATAGGTAAGATTTCTTCAAACTTCCAACCTTTCAAATCAGGCTTTGCATCTCTATTCGATCATAATATTGTTCATATTCTTTATCGCCCTCCTAATTGTTAAAAACAAAAACCTGAATACTGACCATCTCATAATCATTCACAATTCAAAACGCTTTCTCATAGGTACTTGTACCATGGACGCAGAATGCCAGAACGGAGGAACTTGTGCCTTTGGTATCTGCAACTGTGCACCTGGGTACACCGGTTTAAACTGTGAAATAGGTAAGAATTCTTCAAACTTCCAACTTTTCAAATCAGGCTTTGCATCTCTATTCGATCATAATATTGTTCATATTCTTTATCGCCCTCCTAATTGTTAAAAACAAAAACCTGAATACTGACCATCTCATAATCATTTACAATTCAAAACGCTTTCTCTTAGGTACTTGTACCATGGACGCAGAATGCCAGAACGGAGGAACTTGTGCCTTGGGTATCTGCAACTGTGCACCTGGGTACACCGGTTTAAACTGTGAAATAGGTAAGATTTTTTCAAACTTCCAACCTTTCAAATCAGGCTTTGCATCTCTATCCGATTATACTATTGTTCATATTCTTTATTGCCCTCCTAATTGTTAAAAGCAAAAACTTGAATACAGACCATCTCATAATCATTCACAATTCAAAACGCTTTTTTATAGGTACTTGTACCATGGACACAGAATGCCAGAACGGAGGAACTTGTGCCTTGGGTATCTGCAACTGTGCACCTGGGTACACCGGTTTAAACTGTGAAATAGGTAAGATTTTTTCAAACTTCCAACCTTTCAAATCAGGCTTTGCATCTCTATCCGATCTTAATATTGTTCATATTCTTTATCGCCCTCCTAATTGTTAAAAACAAAAACCTGAAAACTGACCATCTCATAATCATTCACAATTCAAAACGGTTTCTTATAGGTACTTGTACCATGGACGCAGAATGCCAGAACGGGGGAACTTGTGCCTCGGGTATCTGCAACTGTCTACCTGGATACACCGGTTTAAACTGTGAAATAGGTAAGATTTCTTCAAACTTCCAACCTTTCAAATCAGGCTTTGCATCTCTATCCGATCATAATATTGTTCATATTCTTTATCGCCCTCCTAATTGTTAAAAACAAAAACTTGAATACAGACCATCTCATAATCATTCACGATTCAAAACGGTTTCTTATAGGTACTTGTACCATTGACGCAGAATGCCAACCTTTCAACTCAGGCTTTTCATTTCTATCCGATCCTATTTTGTTCATTTTCGTTATCAAAAACTTGAATACAGACCATCTTATAATCGTTTACAATTAAAAAACTTTTTCTTATTGATACCTGTTCCATAATTTGTTCTAAACCTCCTTTCAATTTAGGCTTCGCATTTCTTTTCGATTATATATATTGTTTACATCTAGCACTGTCCTAATTGTCTGATATAAAAGCTTTTTGAATTTTTTCTGGCTCATTTTAAATCAAAGAAGTCATATTCATGCAATTTTGTGATTTCTTTCCATGGGTACGTATGGAAGGTATTTATTCCATGCTGCTCTTTATGCATGGCCTTTTGGAGAACAGATTTGATATTGTGATTCCAAAAACTTTATTGATTGAGATTTGTTTTAGGATAACAAAAGACTGACATATTTCATCCCGGTTATAGCTATTCAACTTTTGGCACAAAGGTGTCTTGAAACTTAGACTATGTAAAGACAATCCTGCGTCCATTGTTACATATATTTCAACCAAATGAAAAACATTTACTTTATTTTACAATTCATTAAATATACATGTATATATATTTCTTTGCGCTTAACCACCTATCTCATCATGAGTAAATTTCGGCAGGGGATAGAGTCTGAACGTTCTATAACATTAAAATATTGATGTTTCAGATGTTTGTTTGTTTTTTCATTTAATCTAATACCATGATCTCAAAGACTTTTAAATGTCATCAACCTTTTACCAATCACTTTTAGCTTTTTGCACTATGAAATCTCATTTCCAGAACTCAACCTTCGAAATATGCCAAAGTCAATCATCGTCAGCATTATCTTCATCATTATTTTTATTATTATCATTATCATCATTGTTAATATTATGATCATTATTATTATTATTAAGTTACTCATTAGATTGTTTCATATTTTTGATTTTACCACTTTTATATAGATGTAAATGAGTGTGCGATAGATACAAGTCTCTGTTATAATGGAAGATGTGTCAACTTGGATGGATCATACACTTGTGTCTGCAATGCTGGATTCACATTATTCAATGCAACTTTTTGCAATGGTAAATCGAAATACAAGTTTTGCTTTTTCCTTAAGGAATATTGTAGGTTTTATGACCGTCTTTGTAAAATTGGAAAGACACGAAGATAACAAAATAAATCAATATCAAATTCATTCAGTTTCCTGCAGAATTTATTGAAGGCATAGTTCATTATCCACATAGTATTTTTAAATAGTTTTTTAGCGTTTGATTTCATATTTACATATTTCAACATGGTATATAAACGTTTTTCAAATCACATTTGTATGTATTATTGTCATGTAGATTGTTCATAATTCAGCCATTCGGAAGCGAAGTGCAATCATAATAAAACAAATAAATCAATTTGATATAAGAAGTGAGGAGCATTCAAATACACCCTGGACAGAATGTGGTAGAAATGTGTCCATTCACTCTTTTGCATAGGCATGCATTTGTGCAATGCAGTTCTGTTAATATTAATTGGTCAAACATACACACAAGATAACAACTAAATTATTAAAACCCCTTATCAACAGAAATTGATGTGCTTTTCCTAACTCAATAGCGGAATGTGAATTACTTGAGCAAAGGTTTTGTTGAATACTTTTAGATGTAATCTTTAATATGCCATACCCTTAAAGGTAATACAAAGTTTTGGGAGGCTTTGAAAATTGGGTGGATAGTGAATCTTTACAATTTTGATATATTTGGATGCCCCTGTTGATGTATTATAAGCACTAACAAAATTAGCCCCTAAAACACTTCTGTTTTCGAGAAAAATTCAATATAAAATTTTCTACCGGTGCTCCCGGTAAATTTTGATAAATTTCAAATAGCTCCTATGGCCGTACAATAGTAGCTGCGACCGTGAAAATCTCAGAATATGTAGTTGGGATATATAATTTCCAAACAGGAATAGCTAATCGGTCGATTTAAGTCAAGAAACATTGTTTCATAGTTAAATTAATATCTTGACCTTGAGAGGGAGCTATACAACATAAAGAGTTTATTATTTATAATTTCATAACTTTAAACTCGAATTCAACCGCGACAACGATCAATGTATATTGTAGGAACGTATATGCTTCCAATATGTTAATTTGAACCAAAATCATGACCCCATACCAAAACATTGTAATACCTTTAAGAAATTTAAATCTGGACAAAACAATTTTTATAATTAAAAAAAACTTACAAAACTTAGTAAGGGTATGAATATTTTAGTACCTAACTGTACATGTACATGTACGAAAATGACTCGGACATGATACAATTCCTAAATCATCTGACGAGGCTGTTATTGCATATACTGTACACATTCCATGTGTAGTCTCCTTATGATATCTTGTTTGAAGTACATACAACAGAAACGATGTATTATTGATATTTCTTTTCATGTAGTAACGCATTCAGGTTTTCATAAAGATCTTAGCTTCATGCCATTGTTTTTTGTTTTGCTTTCTCTGTATTTCCAGAACTCTCAAGCAGTCTGTTCATTAGTCGAGTGAATATTCAGATTACCGGACAAAGTCTGAATAATAAAACCCTGACGTATACACCAGAATTAACCAATAGGTCATCGGCAATATTCATGGAATATGAAGTTGCATTCTGTTTCATTGTAAGTATATCTTTCTTCACCAGTAAATGCTAGAAAATTGATGACAATTCTGAAGACGTAAATATGTACAAGTGGGTGCCTCTTCAAATCCAAAACACTACATACTGACCATATATATCACATTAAGATGCTAATTTATATTTCAGGAGGAACATAAGTCTACTAAAACTTTGTAATAAAGTGTTGGTTTCTCCTGAAAAATGCTTTTTATAGATCCATTCAAAACAAGAGAGAATATACATGTAGTCTCTTTTTAATGCCTGCAAAGATGACGCAGAAGGCATTGTTTTATATACTTGCCCGTACTTCCATCTAATCCTATGTTAACACAATAGACCAGTTCACGGCTAGCATATTACTGCAATGACCCCGAATATCCACAGATCTTCAAAACGTGAAGAGGTCCACTTTGTACATTTTTAAATGAATAATCACTCCTACAGCGATGGAGGTGTTATATAAATAGCCTTTCCACCTGCGTATCATGGAGTGCATGAATGAATAATGATAACATAACTTTCATGAGCACGTATCCAGTATTTCGTCTCCGTATATTTCAAAATGTGTTCTGCAATGACCTCTATCTGCTCATGCTCAGACTGCAACCGTGAACTGGCTTGAAAAGTATGAGTATGCAAGGTTGAATTAATTATATTTGTGGTGCAAGGAGTCAAAGGTCAAATATTGGAGGGTCATATATGTGTTTTGAATTACCATGTGTACACGAAAATAGTGATAAATGATGCGAAAGCTAATGCTTAGATTAGCAAGTGTGCGCTTGTAAAAATGACGCCTGGCTGGAATGCTCCCCAGGGAGTGGAGAATGTGCATACATTGTGTGCGGGTAAGCCTTGAATCCGATGACCGGGGTAATAGTATATATATCTGTAAGGCGCTTTGATAGGGCCCTCCTGAAAAAGCGCCATATAAGAAATATTATTATTATTATTATTATTAGTTGCAATAAAATCGCTTTAATTTGAGAATTGCACAGAGTACTGCATCATACTAAATTTTTGTGTGATTTTCTCCCCTTTCTGCTCATTTATAACGTGTATTTCCTAGTATTCTGGATCCTAAAACATCACGAAATGGCACTAAGAGGAAGATACTTTACTGCTATGGCTTAATATCGTTTTTTTTAAATAATTTTAATGATTTCGGAACCTCGCAGTATGCATCAATTCATGTGTACTCCATAACCAGCCTTTTTTATTTATTTTTCAGTGCATATTTGGTTCTGCACTTTATCTTTGATTTTTTTTTTAATGAAATGTATTTTTATGAACTACATTATGTATCTAAGCATAATCTGATTCTTCTTGCCCCTTCTTATCTCATTTATCAGTTCAGTCAATATGTAAGGAGACAGTTAGATTCTCAACTTGTCGGTGATAATTGCATAGTGCTGTCATTCAGCCGAGGTAGTGGAGTCTGTCACATGCAAATGGAGCTTGCCGCTACTAGCCAAAGTGTAGCAGATGGGCTTGCTATAAGTTTATCTGTCTTATCTACCAACATTGATCAAGCTTTATCAGCTTATGGTCAAACTCTGGTAGCGTCTACTATATCGGCAAATGGTAAGAGTATAAGTATAACCCCTTTTTCACCTGCCATTCTTCTTTTTAAACACCTTACAATAGATTATTGTATTGGACATACAAAATATTGTCTTTTTAAAGGTCATAACAAATAATGTTGTTTTTTTTGTAACTGGGTAAATCGAAATCAGTATCTTTCAGTTGTCTGCAATGTGTTAGAAGGCTCAGTCGAAAAGTCAATTTCAGATACTTTTTATTAAAAAAAATAATATAACCTTGCAACTGTGAATAGTTTGTGAATTTAATTTGATGGTTCTAAATTATTTGCGATATGATTTCTAAGATTAATTGGTTATCAACTCTCTTTCACTAAGGGCCGGAGTTGGCATCTGATCATATGATGGACCCAAGTGATAAGATGTTGATTTCAAGATATCCTATAACAAACAACAAATCGTGTTTTGTTTTTTCAAACTTGTTTGTGACAAATCATTTTAGAGTTCAAAATATGATATCTTGGAGTGACTTGCATTTGAATAGATGTTTATGTCATCATATAATATCAAATCAAAGATGGTTATGTATCAATACCAGTCAAGAAAAGGCATGGAGTTGACGCACATGGAGTTTGAAATTGTCAAATTCATGTGAATTGTCCCCTGTTCAGTCAGCCGTGAAGAGATGCACAACATTCCTGGTACCAAAGGACATGAGGAATGACTCTACTGATATATGTCAGATCACAATATTTCATACTTATAGTCCTATAAATTAGGTAATTTCAAAAAGTGTACACTTATAGCTGTCGAAGCACATGTAATATTAGGTAAACTGTATTGGTATTACAATTATTATTATTTGTTCATATTACAGAAGTAATGGAGATCTTGTCATTCTACTGTCTTTACCTTCTCAGTTAACAGAAGTAATGTGAATCATTCATATATCTTTGAAATTAACAGTTCAGTGCGATCAATCGAATTGCCAGAACGGCGGGGAATGTACATTTTCTGGGCAGCCTTGTAGTTGCCAAGCTGGTTTTACAGGAGACCTGTGCCAGGATGGTAAGTTGTGTATTTTAATGTTTTTATCAATGATGATCCTCAAAGAATGTTAGTGTTTACAAACTTTTACTCAAATACATTTTGTTATTCTGTTATTTTTTAGTGTTTGTATGCTTCCTCTAACTCATTCTCTACAGGTATATATAGATATATGAGTATATATACAGCATAATAAGAAATGGATGTGAGGGTATTCTCTTTTTCTTCGCACAGTCACCACTAATTTCGCGTACATCGTACATGTATATTTTTCTGGTCTTGTCTTTTCATAATCGCATATTTGGTCAACTTTTTTCCAGCCGCTCAAGGATTGTCGAATGGAGCCATCATTGGTATTGCTGTCAGTGTATTTGGTTTTGTTCTCATCCTCTTAACCTGTGTCAGCTGCATTCTCATCAAAACTGTCAGACGAAACCAAGCGACAAAATTAATGCTTGCGTGAGTATTACAATAAATTTATGAATGAACAAACCCAAGATATTATTTCCCATAACTTACTGCCCGCATCTATATGATGTCAGTATACCAAACGAATGTAGCAAGATGATAGCTCTACTAGAGCTTGAATCAGACATAACAAAACATTAAATGGTAGTGTTTTTTGTAGACGTAACAATGCCATAACACAATTCAATAATACTTAGTAGAGTATTGGACCTAAATGTATATGTATTTTGAACTTGCCTTTGATGTATCTATAGAGGTGCCTTGCCAATTGGTATAACTCTTATTGACATTTTGTATGCACGATAGTCCGAAATTCTCCATACTAGGATAATTTCCAAGGAAGTTCCTTAATTTTACTTAACTTCCCAAAAAAAAAGTTTGACGAAAAAGGGGAATGTTTTTGAAAGAGCAAGAAATTTTTACTAAAAGGGTTTATATTTTCATTTCAGAAAAGTTACTTTTTGTGAATGAACTCGATAAACCAAAAGTATAGTTAAGTACCTATGTTTACATAAGAAGCCTCAATTTGTTGTAATGTTCTTGAAAGTACAGAAAGTACATGTGCCTTTTTTTTTTTTTTACTTCACTAAGAATCAAGCATTACACCTCTGAACATACTTATACATGGGGGGGGTCGAACCCCCCCCCCCTCAATTTTTTTATTAAAAAAAAAACAACTTTGTAATCTAGGGAACGTCTGATATCGTTTCTTTATTGATCAAGTAAGTTAAAATCATCTTTCTACCTATATATATATATATATATCACTCATAATAAAAAAAATATATAAAAATGTGTTTTTTTTCTTCAGTGAAGAAAGGTATAACGATCCAAGTAGACGAGATAGCGGCTTCTTCAGACACGAATATTTATATGATTCTGAGGAGTACGATTCCCTTGAAGGACGCCGGTATCATGTTGGTCTAGCATTAGATCGACTCCGAGGAACTGATGCACAGGTATGAACAATTTCCTTGTCCATGTGTTCAAGGCTTTATTATAACTCAAATAATCTTCCTGTTCAATACGGTACTTATCATGAAATAGAAATACCAAACGCTTTCAATAATTTACCAAACAGATGAACAATATGTAGTACTCAAACACCTGCACCCCATTTTCCAGCGCTTGTAGTACAAAATGTTGTGTACCAAGGTTAAAGGAAATCAATTACCATTCTTAACGACACCATACCCCCCCCCCCCTCACTCATTGTTATTTAGGCTACGCGTATGCATGTTCCCTCCTTTTGAAAACACCCCCCTAAGTCCGTGTGTAAAGTCAATACGGGCCGGATTTTTGTGTACTACGAGCCGGACTTTGGTGCGTGAAAAGTACCCCTTTACCGGACATTTTGGGAACACGCATGCGGTCCCTCCGACCCCGGAGTTCAGGGACCAGGCACCATACCTACCTTCTTTAAATGATTTCATGCATAAAATTGTTCGAAAAATGAAAATGTGTTTCTTATTAGTTTCTTCCATTAATGTCCCTCGTTTGTTTACTACTGTTTAATATTATAGGGAGAAGAGATCCTATACAACAGAGACAATTTTTCTCAAAA